TTTTTTCATCCCGCCAACATTTCAATGCATTTCTGTGTTTTTCTGTAAATAAATGGCACATTGTTATTTCAAGTGTCCGTCCATGTATCCTGCAAATAATGCTGCCACCTTCGTCGAGCGCCCTCCCCGTCGACATTGGCTGCTTTCAATTCCACGTTCTATGCTTGCTTTCACATTTCAGTTGCTTTATGGCAGCCGTTTTTATGTACTTCCTCTGTCATTTTTGTTTTTGTTTTTGTTTTGTTTTTGTCTTCCCTTTTCAACTGCTCTGCACTTTGTTTGGCATTTAAAATTTCATTTTTACGATATGTATGTCCATTGTGCCAGTTATTTGTTTTTAAATTTTTTTTTCGGTTTTGCAGTAAAAAATATGAAATGGTCATAAACTTGGCCACACGAATATTTCAAATAGAAATTTTTCTTTTGAATGCTCTGGGAAGGATTGACAATTTCTATACTCAGCTGGGAAAAGAGAAATGGGAAAAATTTTAAGAACTGAAAAACAATTTCTACGCTTTTGATTTAATAATTTTCATTATATTAAAGCATCAATAATAAAAATGTACATAAATGCTGAACTCCGGTTGTGCAAAAATATCACCCAAATTAGAGTTGTTAACTAACGTACGTAACTATTTTTTGAGTTCCTAGCAATGCGTCCTATCCTAGCCGGTCCTGAGACCTATTAAGGAAGGACACGGGAGCCTTATAGGATTTTTTGACTTTTAGTAAGTTTCGAATTTTAGGAGCAAAACGGTAAGAAGACCCCTTCAAATATATATTCATACTCTTTCGCAGCATCGCATTGCCCTTTGAAGTGAAGAAGCATTTTAACTTTCTTTGTGAAAGCCAGATCTGTAACCGCATCTACATATACATACGGTGACCATTCGTACCGGTTTTGGCGGGACAGTACCGATTTTGAGAAATTTGTTCCATGTCGGGTCCTATTAGTGCCCGATTTTTCATATTTGTACCAATTAAATCCCGATTTGCACTGTTTTCTAACTGTAATTCAACAAGAGTCTCCCAGTATCGCAAAGAACATAGAATATAGGGGAGCCAAAACGTAGCCTTGGTCTATCATTTCTATGATCTTTAGTTATGTTTTATTCTGTCAAACTACCGCTATATTGCAGTCATCATTCTTGTCAAACAATTTTTTAAAGGTTTTTATAATTCTTTTTTTTTTTAATGAAGCAATTCGGCTTGAGTTTCGTGAATTTATAAAAAAAATAATACTAATTGCCTCAAAAAATGCATGGTGCTGATAAATATAAGCTGTAGATACAGTGGCCAAAATGTTTGTAAGGGTTTTTTTGAAAAATAAAATTGTCCTTTATAGATTTTGCGAAAAAAAGTACTTTATTGTTAATTTTCCACAGCATGTCCTTAAATTTCATTAATTAGTTTTTAAATTTTAACCTTCATTTGGGTTTACCAGCGGACTTCGTCGGTTGCTTTATTACACATCTTCTGTAACCATAGGCTAATTTCCCCCATGTGAGTCATTTATACTCCCCCTTTTGTCCAACATAAGGCCTCATACTCAGCAATCGAATAGACTCGGAGGCCAGCCATTCGACCAACCCTATACAGTTTTTTTTCTTTTTTTATATACAAAGTCTAAGAAAAAATACGCCTGATAAAGACATGTACTTATCTGCCAAAGCTGGAAAATGCAAATAAGAATTAAAATCTTAAAACTAATTAATAATATTAAAATAAAATATTTACAAAGTTAACAATAAAATCCTTTTTTTTCAAAAAAAACTGTGCGACAGTTAATATTTTACGCCCAGTATTTTGCCATACATATTGTGGCGAACACTACTACTTGTAAGCAAAGTTAAGTGTGGTAGTGAAAAGGTGTAAGCATGGTCATACAAATCAGAAAAATATTAAATTAATTATAAAGCTTCAATTTAGAAAACGGTCATACATTCAGGAAGATTCTGAAATTATTTTGTGGAATTTAGTTATTTATTTTTAACTTTTATTGTTGCTTTAAAAAATATATCTAAGATAACATCGTTTGTTTGTACCTAATTGATGGTAATTTGTAACAATAAATTGCACAAAAAATTAAAAAAACGTACTCCTTTCTTATGTGTTGTTCTGCTTTTTTCCTATCGAAAATATAAATGTACTCCTTTCTTCGTTTCAGAATCTGGCAACCCTGTGCCACCACTAACGTAACATTTTTTGGTGGAGGTAAGTTTTTAATTTCCTTTTTTAAGTTTGCAGTCGAAATTATGTTTTTGTTTTTTTAAGTTAAGGTGATGGTGATTAACACACAAACATCTACATAGGCAAACCCTTATTAAAGTGCAAATTGGTCATTGGTCATGAGACCAATATTCAGTTTAAATTTTTCGAACCTTTTTATCTCGATATTTTTACAGCGATACTTTTAATGAGTTCTATATCGGTATCTTCGATTCGATATCCTAGCCAAAAAAGGTCAAGATAAGGCGTTTCTTTATTTCCCGAAGTACAAATTGCAAATCCCGAAAATCCCAGGATTCATGGCAAATAATCCCAGGATATTCGGGACTTAAAAAAACATCCCTAATATGTACATATGTATGTTAAACCTATGCCCTTTTACTCTGACTCCAAAAATACAGTGCTCTCATTCGGCTTCTCCTAAGGAAGAACCCTTTTTAGGTATAAACTAATAAACTTCAGACGCCAGCAACTTTCTATTTCAATAACTTTTTTCATAAGCCGTCTGAACAGTATGAGCAGCGGAATAAGAGAAAGTAGAATGGATTATATGATACCTTGGAATAAGGCTGACAGTTTTAGTATGTGCTCATTGTAGTAGCTCCCAATTAGTATGAAGGGTGAGTTTTACTAGAATATACATACAAGTCACTTGAATTATTGTACAGATACTATGAAAAAATTAATAATTTTTTTTACTACGATATAATGCATGAATTCTCCACAGCATATTTTTTGAATCTGCAGCTAATCGGGAGGTTCTCGAAAGGGTGTTTATTTCATTTTTTTTTGTCAGATGTAACCGCCAAGTGATTTTGAACTTTACTAAAAAATAATTGGAACATAAGATTGGAAGTAAAATGCGAAGAACTTTCTTTTCTAACCTCAAACAAACAAAAAAAAAAACAAAAAAATATATATTTTCTTTTTAAACAATAAAAATTTTTCTTTTTGAAATATATAAAAAAAACTGCAAAAATTCTATAAAAAAATTAAATAAGTTTCTTAAAACTAAATGAATTAAAAAAATAAGGTCTTAAAAATTAAACGAAGTTGATAAAATATCTGGCATCTGATAACAACTAAAGCGAAAAATTTTAAGAAAATTAAACTAAAGAATAAAAATAATAAAGTGAAGAAATAATCGAAATTTAATTACATACATTACATATGTAAGGTTTTAAAAATTTTATGAAATTTAAAAATTGCTTTTCTCTCTTAAACAATAAATCTAAAAATTAAAAGCGAAGATCAAGTTAAATTAAAAGGGAAAACAAATTAAATAAAAAAAATACATAAAATACATAAGTTTCTAAAAATTTAATTAAATTGACAAAATATAGTTTTCTTTTTAAAGCCATTGAATCTAAAAATTTTAAGAAAATTATATTAAAAAAAAATTAAATTAAATTAAACAAAAAATTAAATTAAGTTAAAAAAATTCCGCTGCCGGAGGATTCGAACGTCGTACCTCACGAATTGCATGCCAGTGCTTTGTTCACTCGGTCAAAAGAGCTTTTCACCATGAAAATTGGCAAGTGGCCTTTTTTTGTAAGACTTTTATGCCAAAATATACAAAATCTTTCACACTATCTTGCCTACTGCCTTTCAATTGTCTTACGAAAGTCTTGCAACTACATCTCTTACTCAGAATTGCCCTGCTTTGTATTAAATTTGCTACCAGTTTTTGAAGGCACATAAACCATTATTGTTTAGTTAAGATTCAGCAAGCATACTTTGAATGGTAAAAAAAAAAACTTAGTTGATTTACTGAGTCCTTATATAGAGCACTTCTTTTCGAATACAAATTTTATAGGTTTGTATTTTTTGCAATTTTTTTAAGTCACACCACTTCTGTATCTATAACATTTAGTCAACCACAAAATTAATCCGTTTTCCCTCCCATACACTCACCTATAGTTTTCGTCCATTGCGCTGTGGGCCTCCAGTCCGGATAGTGTTTCGGGAATAAATCGCGCGTCCAATAGGTGTGCAATACAACCTTATAAACGGCTAAACGATCTAACTGACAACCACTCACCGGCAATGGTTGAGTGGGTGTTGCAGTTGTAGGAGTGCCACTAAATTTGGCATTAGTGTAGTAAAAATTGCGATTACTCGCAGAAGAAGGCGGAGAGGCTGCCGACTCGCTCGAACTAAACGGCACATTATTATTGTTGCTGGCATAATTGTAATAATTTTTGTTGTTGTTATTGTTGCTGTTGTCATTGCCATTATATTCAATATCATTGCTCAGCAAAGTATTTGCGTGTTGTTGCTGTTGTTTTTGTTGTTTCAATTGCGTTTGCTTTGGCCGCTGTTCCGCCAATGTATAGGTATAAATGGATGGATTCGATATGAATGCGGGATTATAGCTGCTAAAGAGTGCAGGTTCCGGTTGCGGTTGTGGTTGTGGTTCGGGTGCTGGTTCAGGTGAGGGTGCCGCGTTGCAGAGGCAAGCAGCTGCAAGGAACAGCAGCAGCATTTTAAAGATGTTGGCTGACATATTTGTTGGTTGAGTTGGAGTTTTGTTGGAGATTTTTTTTGCAAAAAAATTTATTTAGAAGTTACCTTGTTTATTAGATTTGCCAGCTGACGTTAGCTCAACTTTTGTTTGCCTTTTTTATTTTTTTTTTATCAAACTTGCACTCTTTTTTACTTTTTCATCATTTCACTTTCACACTAAACGCACACTTGACCCTCAGCCGCCTCGTTGTTGCGCTCACGCACTAGCACTCCCGTACGCGCTGCGTTATTTCGCCGGCAAAAATAGATACTCGCGCATTCAACAGATTTTTTGCACAACTTATATGTATGTATGTATGTATGTATGCACACTCGCGCCTTCGTCGCCGGCAGTTTTATTTTTCGTTTACCTTGCGTGTGCTTACTTTAGCTTTGCTTTGTGTGGTTTTACTTTTTTGGATCGCTTTTCACTGTATTTGTTTATTGTAATTTACTCGTAATACCGTTTATTTTTAGCCGGCCTAAATTTTCACTCATCATTTGTCACGCGCGACAAAAGACCGCTGACTATCCGCCTCAATGTTTGCTTGTCCTTTTTATGCCAAAAATAAAATTTTCCACGCACATTTGGCAGCGAAGGTGAAAATTGTGACAAATTTTTGTTTGCTTCTTCTTACACCTTCACCTCTGGTGTGCGCACACGTCGTCACAGCAGTTTATACGCACTCACGCATTTCCTGCTAATCGTACGCACCTAGCTTCTGCCTTACGTACTGGCACCTTTTCTTGCGATTTTAGCTTCCACTTTTCTTCTTCGTATATTTTTATGCACTAAAGTTTCGCTTCATTCAATTCGTTTGCGCTTACTTTGACACCAACTTGGTCGTTTACCCTAGAATTCCACTTTTACCAGAAATTTGGTTTTCTCTGAGCTTCTTCTTTCAAATTCTATGTATGTACATTCCACATTAACGTCACAAACTTTATCCGCTCTCGATTCGTTTACCGTGCGCATCCGGCGCTATGTCGTTTCATACTGAATTCTGAATTTTCAGCAGCTCCACCAAGTCCCAGCGCGAGCACCAGCAACATCAGCAGCAGTTCCGGCCTATCAACCTGGCCATTGCTAAATAAATTTCCCAAAGCATAAGCGCCCACACGCACATGTACAACGGTAAATGTGAGCACTATTTTCCTAACGGTATATTTAGCATAAAAAATATTGGGTAGTTCTCCTTGTTCGAAATGTTGAGAGCACAAGAGAGCGAGAGCGAGAGCGTGTTTTTCAGGAGTAAAGTTGGTATACGCGCGCTGTGTTGGGTGTTGATTTTGGCTACTTTTTTTGTTTGTTTTATCAGCGTTCTGGAAAGGTGCAACAGCCTGTTGCCTGTTTTGGGTAATTTTTCTTGCATCTTGTTGTTGCATTTTTTTTAATATCATCTTTAAATGATACTTGGGCGATAAAGGGTTGTTGAACTGAAGGAATTTTTAAAGCAAACGTTATTTATAGTTATACTTAGGTACTTACATACCGATATATGTATGTATATCAATGAAAATTTGTAAATATTATAATAGCCAAGCTGCACCCAGAGAATCCGCTCGTCGCACGAGAGGCAATTTGGAGTAAATTTCTTTCAGAAAAAGTATGAACGGTGACATAAAGAAGAAATCATTTTCATGGGCATAAAACTTCTGTAGAAATTGGATTGTCGCGACTTTTTTGTTTGAAAAAGTACAACAAGTATATTAAATTAAAGCCGAAACTGATTTGTCTCCAAAGCAAATTTAACATTAATTTAGTCACCTCTGAGTTGGGTTCACTTGAAGGCCACAAAGCAACATTGCGATGCTCAAAGGGTGTCCACATGCTTATCCTTGCATGTCTGTAAACCCTCCTGATTCTCGAGCGAATCCTAATAGACCCTCTAATGGAGTTTTTCCAAGCTGTCTATACTCGCGAATAAGTGATTCCCCAGAAATGTGAGACTTTTACTCCGGATCGCAGGGCACTCGCAAAGAAAGTATTGGGCAGATTCTGCACAAATCGTTTCACATGGCTCTGAACTTGGCGGCCATGTAGCCAGTGTCTCGTTAGTATTCCTGTGAGAAGCCCAACATTTGGCTTTCAGAGCCTTAATAAACTCCGTGTTCTTCGTTCATCGAGCCATGGCCGGAGTGAGCGCAATACCGCGTAGGTGCACAGTAATTTTCTCAACTTCTGAGGACAGGAACCACAGCGACAGGAACCGTTTGGGGCACCTAATGCTACCTCAGATTGCTTTCTAGCATGCTCGTCCATTTCCTGATTTACCAATATGTCCCAGGATGAATCTAGGTCAATCCTGCTTACCAGCTTTGCTGCCATTATTCCTGAGAGAAGATACCAGATCCTGTTCCCATGTCCAGTTACTTATTTCAGAAAAATGGGTTCGAGGATGGTGGCGTGAGTCTTGCAAGTTGTTCGCAACCTGTTAGATGCCCTGAATCGTAGAACGCTCGAAGGTGCGGCACTTTTGACTTATATTCCCATTAGTGGAATGTCTATGAGTATCTCTAGCGCCATATAGATGCAGTGTATTATCTGCGACCGCAGCCCCTAGTCTTTCCTGATCATAGTTTTACAGGTGCAGAGCGTATTAAGCGCCTTTTCCCTCCGCTCCTCGGTGTGACTTTTCCAGAAGAGTTTAGAGTCGAGAAAAACTCCAAAAAACGTTGCCTCTTTCAACAGTTTGAGATTTGCTCCATTGAGGGATGGAGTACGAAATTTGTCTACCTTATATCGCTTGGTATACAGAACAAGTTCAGTTTTAGATGGGTTAACCTCTGAACCGTTTCTTACCTCGCACCTTGCCAGGTCGGTAATTGCGACCAGAATGCCAAAGTCATCTTCATACACAATGACCTTAATGGCTATCGGTGTGTGAATCAGGAATTCGTTCACCATGAGGTTCCACAGCAGTGGAGATAAAACGTCCTCTTGAGCAGTACCGCGTGTTGCTGTTTTCCTTACTTCTGTGCCTCCCAAGGAGCCATTGATGCTTCTGGTACCAACGTATTTTCGCTTCAAAGAGAGATTAGAGGATCAAGTTCTAGGATGACTATGGTGGAGTGTCTGAATGCCAAACTAGCATTTTTAAAGCCGCATCCCTCATCCAAAAAGGCTGCCAGGGCATATGCCTTGTAGAGTAGCGCTTATTCTATACTCCCAACCACTTCGTACAGGGTCTGTTTCTACCGACAAACCTCTACATTTTGGGCCTCGCTGAAGTTTTCCGAAGTAAGGCGTCTCGTGATCTGCAGACTCAGTGGCATCTCCATTATCTGGAGGAGAAACTTATGGCTCTTAAATATTGTTCAGTACTATTTCCCATCTTCCCTGCCTTAGGAATGAAAACCACTCTTACTTGCCTCCATGGTTTTGGTATATAGCTAAGGAGGAGACTAACCCTCTAAATCGGCAGGGAGTTATTGTGCCGCTTGTACGTTGTAGCATGGCTAGTATGATTCCATCCGATTGTGGAAATTTATAGGGTTGAAAGAACCAGACACCCGCTATTTTTATCTCAGTGACGATTTGTCGACTGGGTTGTCTTGCCAGTAGGTGTTAAGGGTTTCTGTCGGAAGACTGATTACATCGCCTGTATTGCCCAGGTCATCTTCCTAGCACCTTTTCAATCGCGCGATTTCAGTGGTCCTTTTTAGGCCCACGTAAAACTTGGACCACATTGCGACCTTTTCCTTTTTTATCCCTTTTTTAAACGCATTGAAACTTCTGCGATATGCGTCCCAGCCTACAGCGTTCTTGGTAAACTCGCCCTACTGAAAGCTTTCCTAGCTGCTGTCTTAAGTTAGCTTAGCTTCGCCGTTCACCATTTTGTGTATCGCCTAGAACAGATTGCCATATAACATTCATTAAGAGAGTTCATTAGACGAACAACCGCTGCCTCCAGTCGGTCTGCTTAGTTGGGTTCTACCGATTTCGAGAGGAAGTTTTTTAATCGTTTTGCTTGGGTTTATTAGCTCACTGATCTTCTCACATCTGATGAGGCGGCTTTCTAGTGAGCTTCTCTGATGGAATACAGCCACGCTTGTGCCTTGTATTGGCATGCAAATTGTCACAAAAAAGTGGCACTCCTTAGTCTGATATGTATAAATCAGAGTCGTTCCGGCTACGTAGAATCTAGTTTCTTGGGGATATTTCTCTTTCTCTCTCCTGCTTTTTCTTCTACCTATTGTAAAATCACCAAAACTAAACTCTCTTCTTCTAAAAAAAAACGATATTTGACTAATCCAGATAGTCGCTCCAAATTAGGTTAGCCAGAAACTGCTCGATCACCAAAAAAGGTCCAATAAAGCATTCGTACAAGAAATTCTGAATAGATTATTCTTCTACATCATCTTTATATGTAGCTTCTACAGAAATCATTATACGGAAGCGCTAACCAAGCGATCATATAGGCCAGATGATCCTCTGGCAGAAGTTATGAATCTTTTGCATTTATTTTTCCAGTTTTTTTTTTGGAGCTCTTCTGTATATCCTATATGATCGGCTTAGCGATTATCAGCAAAATTCGAGCTATTCGTTAATCGAACGATGACCAGAGATATCTTTATTTTATTCAAAACTTCAGAAAAGTCCACCTGCTGTTGGTGGTTATTATTATTTTATTTAAAATTAATTGGCTTTGGTTACAACTTCATATCTAAAACCTCAGCGCGAAGAATCAAAACACCAAAACTTTCAGACGAAACGAGGAAAAGCAGTCTCACCGAAAACCGACTGGTCTAGGAGCTTATGAGTGAAGCAACAACCAAATGAGACAGCGCCTACACTGCCACGCAGTGCGTCTAAATTTTCGAATCCAATTCCACTGAATATCTATTCAACGATAATGGATTTTCTATAATTACAAATGGCACACGTGTATGTATTTTTTTTTTTTTTTAATTCTCTGCCTATGACCTTATGTCGGCTTTCAAGTTAAGTGGTCGCAATTAGAGAACTCTTTGCGCACA